AATTATATATTAATATAATCATAAAATTATATAAAATATCAATTAAAATTAATTTAATCATAATAAATTAATACCTTAGTCTAATCAATATCTTCTAATTTAAAATTTTTAATTTGAGTTCAATTTCAAGATTTTAAATCTTTATAATGCAATGGTAAACAACTAACCTTTTCCTACAATGTACAAAGAGAAAAAAAAAAAAAAAATCATCACCAGGGTATCAAGAACAAGAAGTGCCCTGTCATCATCTTGGAGATACAAAACAAAATCAGGCCAGCTATTAGTGGAGAATGTATTCCTTTACCATCTAATTTTATGATTAATTCTGTACTAAGATTCTGATTAAAAGGCGAACACTAGAATGACACAGGACATGGACATACAATGTACTCTGTTTTCTTACTTTGTACGCACAAAAGAACGATTCTTTCCTTTTCTTTTCTTTTTTTAACAAATTATCAAAGGGTTGGTTCGAAACCTGTTCATAAAGGAGGAAAAATGTATTTTAAGTTGGCAAAGTATCAATTGGCTCGAAGAGCCAAGTGCTACAAAAGAACGATTCTGTCTTATAAAAACAGTTCAAAACGCATTATAGAACAGATGATAGATAAGATTGCCAGATAGATTCAATATTTATCCTACCACATCAATAAAAAATAAATAGAAGAGAAAAAAAAAAAATTAATCAAATGATAGTGTTTTGAGTTCTTGTAATTCAACCTCAAATTTTGTCAGCACATACATGCTATGTTTTAGCCTTTTTTGGGTAATCTGTAATTTACCAGTAGCTTATCACATTTAATTATTTTAAAATTAATTAAATCACAATAGTTCCCTCATAATGTTATTGGGATTCCATGTTTGATGGGAAAGGAAAGCTAACTGCCAATTGAAGTCATAAAAAATCTTCGAAGTTATACCATATTAGTCCAAGGAAAATAAACTCAACATTTTAATTTCATTTTAATGTTAATTAATCCTTCTATTTTGACACCAAATCAAGTCATGAAGAAGATCATCATTAGTTTATTACTTAATTAAAATTTACCACACGTGTTTGACTTAAAGAATGAATTCTTTAATTTAAAAATAGCTACTGGCTAACATTGCTTTTGCAAAAAGAGGAATTAAAAGAGAGGTTTTTTTTCAAAACTTATGTGTTTTTAAAGTTTTATTTATTATATTTATTATTATTAATTTATAAAAAATTATAAAAACAAATTTTATTTTAAAAAATAATATTATGTAGAATTATTTAATTAAATTAAATTATTAATAAAATTAAAATTAATTGTTATTTGTTTTATATAAATTAATAATAAAAATAAAACATAAATTAAAAAATTCCTTAAAATAATAATTAAAAAAAAAAAAAAACTGCTGGCTAGCATTGCTTTTGAAATTAATACCTAAAATTTTCCATTCAAGATTTGCTGTCCAACTCTTATTAATAGGATTTTGTGCTGATTTATTTAATTGATTGCAGAAAGAAAAGGCAGCTGAAGTTACTGGGTCGGAACAAGGCAGGGCAGGCTGTAGAAAGTGAAAAACTATATAAACCTGTCACTGTTTGAAATTCTTGAATTATGAACTTCTTTTATTACCCCCAGCTGACATTGTTGGAGGAAAGACAAGGACTTGAACATTCTGAAATACTGAAATAAAAAGATATAGCCACTGCCAAAACAGAACAGACCCATTTCTTAAACCCTTTTCCCACAATCACTTGCCCCCTTTATTATCTTTCACAAAATCCCCTCTTTTCATGATTCTGTGTTGAAAGTTGGAAACTTTGGATCATGGGTTGTTGTGAATCTTCGTTTCTGGCTGAAACCCACCCTGAAGGGAACCAAACCCAGCAGCAGCAACAACCCCACCACCACCAAACGCCCTCTGTAGGGCCACCTGACGCGGCAACTAATGAAACCCCTCCTTTCTCTGAGTTCTCCTTCTCTGTCCTCAAAGGAGCCACCAACAACTTCAGCACTGATAATATAGTTTCTGAAAGCGGTGAGAAAGCCCCAAACCTTGTCTACAAGGGCTGCCTGCAAAACAGGAAATGGATTGCTGTGAAGAAGTTCACCAAGATGGCATGGCCAGACCCCAAGCAGTTTGCGGTATTGGGTTTTTTTCTTTTCTTTTTGCTTCTTTTTTTTTTTGGCAAGTTTGTTCCTTTATTTGTTGGGTTTGATTCTTTATTCCTTTTCGTTTTCTGGGTGTGTTTTTGGTATCAAATGCTTGAAATGGGCATTTCTGAATTTTATGTGCTTAGGAGGAGGCATGGGGCGTGGGGAAGCTGAGGCAGAGGTGGCTGGCAAATTTGATAGGCTACTGCTGTGATGGGGATGAGAGGCTGCTTGTTGCTGAGTACATGCCCAATGATACCCTTGCTAAGCATTTGTTTCACTGTCAGTTGTGATTCTTTTTGTAATTTTTGGGTCTTCTTCAATACTCTGATTTATTGCTCATTTTTTGAGGCTTTGAGTTGTTTAGAAAAGAATGTGTTTTTAGGTCTCGCTAGTTTATTGCTGAACACGTGAGAAGATTTCTGGTTTTCATTGATTAAATTAGGTCTTCATGCCACACAGGGGAAACTCAAACAATTGAGTGGGCAATGCGTTTAAGGGTTGCTTCCTACATTGCTGAAGCTTTAGATTATTGTAGTAGTGAGGGCCATCCATTATACCATGATTTAAATCCTTACAGGGTTCTCTTTGACGAGGTATATCTCTCTTCTATTAAGTTGCCTTGTGTTGCCATGCTGAAAATTTTCAGTTTTCCAGTGTTGAGCGTGATCTAGGTTGATTCCTAATATCTGCTAATGGATTTGTAGGATGGGGATCCACGTCTTTCATGTTTTGGCTTAATGAAAAATAGCAGGGATGGGAAAAGTTATAGCACGAATCTTGCTTACACGCCACCTGAGTACCTAAGAAATGGTAATTGCTTTGGTTACCTGTTTCCTCTCCCAACTGTTATATATTTTCTTGCAGTATTAGTACTTCTTTCATGTTTTGAAGTTTATAAATTTGAGTTGTCTGTATTATTTATATACCATTCAGAATTAAGGTTGCTGCATGCATGATGAGCTGATTTTTTGTCATTATTTCTAGCTAAACTATGTTATATAATTATATTGATATATATAACTTGCAATAATAGTTTTTCTCCTTTCATATTACATTATCATTTTCGCAAATATCTTTGAACTTGTGATTCTTCTTTTGTCATAATTTTTATATTGTAGGAAGGGTTACCCCTGAAAGTGTCATTTACAGCTTTGGAACTGTCCTTCTTGATTTGCTTAGTGGAAAGCACATCCCACCAAGTCATGTAAGTGGCTAATGGTTATAGAAGAAGAGCAACAATTTATTTTTATTTTTATTATTTATATATTTATTTTTTATTTTTTATTTTTGGTGTGCGTTTCCTTTAATTTGCTAATGCAGAGGCTAGAACTGGTTAGACTTAGGCAATTACCATATGATTCTCAATCCATGTCAATAAGTTTGGAACTCAAAGTGCGTGTTCAGTGTCATTGTCTTTTATTTTTTGGACCTTATTAAACATCTAACACCAAGAGCTGATTATAAATCCTGAAAAAATTGATCTTTTCAGTTTTTCCTAACAGCAACTGTCACGAATTGTATATATGTATATGTATATATCTAGTCATCTTGGTTTACTTGCTTATCCTGTTTTGATCCAAAAAAGAGGTACATTAAACTCTCCACTGGTGCCAATAGCAATCTTGATATCATTGTTAAGATTCTCTTTATTTGTATCCTGTAAAACTGTGAGAATAGTGGATAAGTTAATGTGAATTAAAATTGCAGTCAACCTTCTTTGAATCTTAGCCATCGCCTTTTAATCAACTTCATGAAGTGGATTTTAACCCTCGTGGTTAAACGTCATCTTGATTTTTTTAAGTTACAAGTGTCACTTGAGAGGCTTTATACATACAGATACCGATTTCTTTATCTCAGGTCTATTTTTGTACATAACACTTTTTTTATTTTTTAAAAAACAACTATGTATATATGCAGGCTCTTGATATGATACGGAGCAAAAACATTGATCTTCTGATGGATTCTCATTTAGAGGGGAAATTTTCCTTGGAAGAAGCAACAGTTGTTGTTGGTCTAGCTTCTCAATGTTTGCAGTATGAACCCAGAGAGCGGCCTAGCACAAAGGACCTTGTTGCAACACTTGCTCCATTGCAAACCAAATCTGATGTAAGAAGTGTTTTTGTTTTGATAGAATGAGATGCACTAATTTCTCTTCCCATGCAACAGCTGGGTTGTCCTCCGACTTCAACATCTTCTGCACTAATGCACTGTTTGCACGCCTATCTTGTCTACAGTACCCTTGATAAACATGTTCACAGGCTAGCTCAAAACATATGAAGTCAGCATTGCTTCTTTTTAAGATTTTGATTATTGTATTTCTTGTTTAGCAGGTGCCATCATATGTCATGCTTGGTATCTCAAAGGATGAAGAAGCTCCATCAATCCCACAGCGTCCTCTTTCAGCAATGGGTGAGGCCTGTTTACGTATGGACCTCACAGCAATTCATCAGATATTAGTAATGAATCACTACAAGGATGATGAAGGGACAAATGAGGTAAAAAATTTGTTTAAGAGGGTGTTACTTGTCTCTTATTCTCAAATTTGGCAAAAACCTACTTCTAGTCTTTTACCATAATGAGTTTGTAGGTTTTAGCCCCTCACCTATACAAATTGAAGAAAGTAGCCCTTACTTAACATCAAGTTATAATATTTTGTTAGTTCTGTCAACTGATTGTTAGTTTTGTTAGTTGACTGTTAGTTCTGTTAATTGATTGTTAACACTGTTAACTGATTGTTAGCATTCTGTTAACGGAACTAACAAATAAATTTGAATTTAAATTTTATGCTTTTTATAAGGAAATGCTAATAAGCAGTTAATAGAGTTAATAGTCAGCTAACAAAACTAATAGTCAACTAACTGGATATTAAATAAGGGTTATTTTCTTCAATTCTTATAGGTGAGAGGCTAAAAGTGTCATAATATAAGGTAAGGAGCTAAAACTTACAAATTTATTAAGGTAAAGGGCTAAAAGTAGGTTTATGCCCCCAAATTTTGTGCTTAGAATTTCCATAAATTTGGATTCTTTCAGTTATCTTTCCAAGAGTGGACACAGCAGATGAGAGATATGTTGGAGTCTAGAAAGCGAGGGGATTATGCATTCCGTGACAAAGATTTCAAAACTGCCATTGATTGTTACTCCCAGGTACATTCTTGAATTCTTAATGCTTAGAGCATTATTCAATTATCATTTTTCTTTTTTGGGTGGAGTTATTCAATTATCATTACTCTGTTGTAAGTTTTCATTTTTCCAATATTGAGCCTCTTTCGTTTAATTTTTTAATATTTTTAGTAGGCCCCTTACATCTTGTGAATATTCAAACAGACATTCTTTATGAGAATGTGCTAAGAACTCAATTGCTATTAGCCATTTTGTGTCTGGAATTGGGATTCAAGTTTTATGTTTTTTATATCATCAAATGCAGTTCATAGATGTAGGAACCATGGTCTCTCCAACTGTTTTTGCAAGGCGCAGTCTATGCTATCTCTTATGTGATCAACCAGATGTTGCCCTGCGAGATGCAATGCAGGCACAATGTGTTTATCCAGATTGGCCCACTGCCTTCTACATGCAGTCAGTTGCCCTTGCCAAACTGAACATGAACAAGGATGCTTCAGACATGTTGAATGAAGCTGCTGCACTAGAAGACAAGAGGCAACGAGGTGGGAAGGGATGATGAGAATTTGAAATCCAGAATTGGCAAAGAAAAAGGAAATTCACATACCATTATCCATTCTTGTTGAGGCAGCCCCCAAGCTTTGTGTAGAAATCTGAGACTGACATTGAATTTCAAAATCACAAATGTATTAAATAGGGAAAAAATGCTTGAATCAATTAATGCATGCTTATTTTTCTCCCTTCCTGATGGGAAATGTTGCTCTTGATGTGCGAAAGTACATGTTAATGAGATCTCGCCACTGTCAAATGAAAGGGTTCAAGAAAACCTTTCTCACCCTAGAATATTGTCAACATGCATCCTTTTTGTGCTCCAAGCTTGTTCTACTGACATAACAAGACTGACAGACTCGGATAGCAAATTGATCTGTTCCATTTTTCTTAAAATATTAATCAGACCAAAACAGTAGTGGTGTCAAAATGTCTTGTCTCCCATTTTGGACATAAATGTCTTGTCTTCCTTGTTGGAGGTGCTTGGACAAACGGCAAATTTGTGGACATCAGTATAAACAGAAATTTTGTTGGCCTTCATGTTCTATCAGTATGAAATAGCAGACAAACTTGGATGACATTTTTTGATTATATGTTGCTATGTCCATAGGTTAACAAAACATGTTTCGGTAATTGCAGAATGCTGAGTTTGGGGTGAGAAATGGGAAGCAAAGTGCTGAGAGATAATTTCTGTTTGCCTTGCATGATTCAAAAGGGCCATAAATTGGAACATGCAATTATGAAGATCCTATTTCAAAGGACCAGTGGCTGCCAACCTTCCTTTCTGCTAAACGATGCCGGTGAGTCGGGCAATTTTTCGTCATTTTTCTTCCCTCTGATTTACAAAATTCTAGTTAGCACCGGTGGCACTCGAATCTTGTCTTCCCATCCAAGGCCTCGACATATAATACACACATTAATCCATAACTTGGAAATTCATCATGTTCATTTAAATATGCACAATCATTTGCAACGGATCAGAAAGAAGATAAGCAGAAGATTGTATATTGCATTAGAGGAGACAAGGTCTAGGTGCCAATCGTGTGCAGTGTGTTTTTTATAAAGCTCTTACATTAAACAATGTGTTGCTTCCATTATTTTTGCATCATTATATGCATTCAAAACTTGAAAACAGAATTTTTTTTTTTTTGAGGTCGATATTGTGTGAAGATTGAAGAGCTAGGGTAGGGGAGACATTGCACTAACATTGGCACAGAAAATGTTAAGATCCAGATCAGGACCACGTTAGGACTACTAGAAATCACAGATAAGATTCCTCATGTCTCCCCATGATACTTACTATGTATGGAAATGGAACATAACCTGAGGTAGAAGGAACATTGCATTGGTTGACCAAGTTGTGAGCTGAAACAACATTAGGCCTTTCAATCCAAAGCAAAAATGGTTTCTTCACCTTTAAACTGAAAATCCAATCTCCATTCTCGTGCAAACATGTACTCTCTGTGCTTGAATCTTTCGTATCATTCTTCTCTGGACCAAAAGCGTTGCCAAATTCTATGATATCAAAGCTGTTTCATCCCAAATGCTTGGCCTGTGGGGAAGAATGATAAGAAAATAATGATTTTGCAAAGGTGGATGCTGCCTTAGGCACTCTCATCAGTCAGAAGACAAGAAAGGCTAACATCATCAGTGTGAAAAATACGCAAAATGATTAGAGTTGAGCATTGAAGATCTGGAAGATAGACTAGAGTGGCTGATGAGGCAATTAATCAAAACAAGAGTCAGTGTTCTCAACAATCTCAGCCATTAAAATTTCCAAAAATTTTCAGTGAATACTTGCATACTTAGCTCTGATTATAAATGAAAAAACAATTTTGAGATCAAATCCAAGTTGTTTCTTATTATATGTTGATGACCAAAGAATTTGCAACATATTTCCAAAGAACAAAGTTTGCAACATCCTTATCTTTCTGGAGATTTACTTCCTGTCCTAATCCTCATGATTTCTGTGTTTCAAATGAGCATTTGGACATAGATGAGGATAAAAAACATGTGCATAAAACTTTAACTTTCGGGGTATACTATATTTGGTTCATGGAAATATGAAGGAAAGGGAGAGAAAAGTTCAAACTGTAATTATTAGACCTGAAGTTTTCATTTCCTTCATGTTTTCTGTAAATCAAGAGGAACATTGGGGTTCATAATTTTTGGACAATCTGAATTACAAAATTCAAGGTAGCATAAGTGGCCCTTCAGCACTGTCTCTCTTTTTGTGGCATCTGTTGAAGTAGTATGTTCCCTTGTGAGTTGTGAGGGTGAACTAAGATCCCACATCGAAAAAATACAAAAGGAAAAGAGTGGCTTACATATGTGAAAACCCATGAAACTAAAAGGCTAGTTATTTGGTTTCAATGTGGTGTCAAAACATATAATTAACCACTCGATGTCACCCCGTTAAGCCGTATGTCTCCCCCAACAAATGGTATTAGACCCAATGGTGCAGCAGTGGTCATTTCGGTCTTGGGCTGGGCTTAGCAAAGTGAGAGTATATGTTATGTAAACCTATGATAAGTATACCCAAGGATGATGTTGTGCACATGATGAGTATACCTGTGAACCATGTCATGTATGCATGTCAAAAAAAAAAAAAAGCATGAACTCTCATGAAGTGTTCAGAACTCACAAGTGAAAGGGGGAGTGGTGTTGCTATGTCATGTATGCATGTCAAACTCTCACGAGCACAACTCACAAGTGAAAGGGGAGTGTTGAAGTAGTATGTTCCCTTATGAGTGTGAACTAAGATCCCACATCGAAAAAATACAGAAAGGAAAAGAGTGGCTTATATATGTGAAGATCCATTGGATTAAAAGGCTAGTCTTTTGGTTCCCATATGGTATCGAAACATATAATAGACCACTCAATATCACTTTGCTAAACCGTATGTCTCGCCAACAAAATCCCTAACTGACTACTGGCATCTTTCCCACATTAAAATTGTAACACGAATGACATTGTAGTCTTTGTTTCCCAAAATGGTAATTCTCTGCCTTATCTGTAGAAATATTTTGCCATGATAGATAAAAAAGGAGATAGCATGACCCACAATAATAGTTTCATGGGAATTTTTAAATACAAGCAGGATTGTATAGAACAGATCAGGAAGAAAATAACATGAGAGGAGACAGGTTATCAATACTCGTGCACAAATATTTTACATAAAGATGTGTTAGCTCACGATGGATTCATGATTATGACCTTTCAGAACTTGAAAAAGGATCAGTTTTTGATATGGTGGTTGTGTCATGTGTGGAAAGTCAGGACTGGGGGGAGACATTGCATGGACATTGCTGATATAGCATTATACAAGAGGAAATTTATGGATTCTGAAATGTGGTTGGGCCGGTTGGCAGACATTGCATGAACGTTGCTGGGATAGCATTAAAATTCGAATAAAGAACACACAATATTACTTGAAGAGGATGAAGCCTCAACCAGAAAAAGCCTTTAGCTAAAATTGATTATATAAGCACCTATGAATGGCAGAAGCATCTTGCTTCCTAGGGAAGCAGGCCAAGCTGGATTGCCTCTACTGGAGAAGACAGGGTCAATGCCACTCGTGTGATGCACATTTTATGGATTATAGAACATTATATTATGTGGTATTTATCTTCATATCAAAGATTCTTGGAGAAAGAGATCTTGAATGAGTTGGGAAGCTGGTCGTAATGAGACAAACCACAAACAGAGGCGAGATTGTAGTTTATATGAAATTTAATTTATTGGTACTTATAGGGGTGAAGATTCCTCTTGTCTCCTTCTCAACATGATATAAATGGGGCAGATGGTAGCAGAAAGAAGGCAAGCAATCTTCCATTCCATCTAGCCAATTTCCTGAGAAAGAATTAATGGCGACCATTCCATCAAAAATCCAACTCTCTACTGATTCTCGCTCTTATAGCTTGCCATCTAGACCACACCCCATAATGTCACAGGTAGATGAGCATCTAAGCAGGTTGAGGACATCTGAATCTGCCTCTACATCCTCAGCAATCAGCAAACAACTAGGTGGCCTTCAAGATCTGCATGAATGCATAGGCAAGCTGCTTCAATTGCCACTAACTCAGCAAGCTTTAGCCCAAGAGCAGAGTGAGAAGTGGGTCGAGGAGATGTTAGATGGATCTTTGAGGATCTTGGATGCATGCAGCACAGCCAAGGATTCCTTGTTGCATACAAAAGAATGCTTACGGGAACTTCAATCTATTATGCGCAGGAAAAGGGGAGGTGAAGCAGCATTTCTAAATGAGGTTAGGAAATACTTAGCCTCTAGGAAGGTGATGAAAAAGGCAATTCAGAAGGTGCTGAAGAATTTGAAGGGCACGGAAAATAAATACAACAGTGATGATCAAACTCTTGCCATGATTAGCATGTTCAGAGAGGTACAAGGGGCTGACATCACCTTGTTTGAGTCCTTGTTGTCCTTTATCTCTGCAGAAAAGGTACAACCAAAGGCAAGCAAGTGGTCTTTGGTTTCCAAGCTGGTGCACCAAAAAAGAGTAGCATGTGAGCAAGAAGCGGATGCAAATGAATTTGCTAGGGTCGATGCTGCACTGCAATTCCTCAATTGTCATAAAGACTGCAATAGCCAAATTGAGAATATGCAAACGGAGCTGCAAAATCTGGACTCCTGCATTCAAGATCTTGAAGAAGGACTTGAGTCCCTCTTCAGAAGTTTGATAAAGGCTAGAGTCTCCATTCTTAACATCCTCAATCATTAGAAAAAAAAATATGTGAAGCAAAATCAAATGTTAAGATCAAATATTTCAGATGTAACTTATTTTTAATAAAAGTTGCATAGTCTTTGAAACAAATTGTTGCTACTTATTGCAGTTTTCTCTCATTCCATAGAATTTATTTGCATCTTGATAAAGAAACTCATACCTTACCAAACAATTACTTGTTTCACAATTTGATAAGTTCTGTTTTTTTGACTTTTGAAGTTTTTTCACCATGTTGCTACAATCTAATCAAATAATTTAGGGGAAAAAGGAGTCGGGAAAAAAATGTTCTCCTTAGAAATGATTCAGTAATGTAGGTAAATAACAGACCTTGACAAAGGTTTATGGAATTGTAATCAAAACCATAGGTGTCAAGATTCCCATTGTCTCAAAAACAGAAGGAAATCATTTCAAAATGATCAAAGCTTTGGTGGCATTCACATGGTAGGTTCAGACTGCACACGCTTTGCTTAATAAAAAATTTACATGGTTGTCTTTCTATTATGGTACAGTTAAATCATCCAGCGAGGTCTTGAGATAATACATCCCTTTTCTTGGCTAGGCAAGATGTGGGGATTTCAAGCCTGCAGATCTTGCCTGTTTCCTGCATAACATAAGAAGCTTAAGAACTATTACATTCTTTATCATAAGGTCTTAACAAATATGTTAATCTATCTGTCTCCACATGCAGAAGTGTGCAAATCAATCCTTTTTTGAATGGAAAAGTATGAAGTATGGCTACTGCCAACAAACCGTCCAACATATACTACTTATTGTGTAGATATGTAAATATTTGTAACTTATGTCCTAACACTCAAATTTCATAATTAGGGATACATGTAACTATGTATCTATATACACTTTGATGCACCAAATAAGATTGAGACCATTGTACAAAATCTGTCTCTTCTTCTTACTACACCTCCAGTGTGTGTGCCTTGCATTGTAAGAAATTATCTTATGGTAGCTTTGCATCTAATCCTACTCCATCACAGCAAAAAAAAAAAAAAAAAAAAAAATGATTGCTTTTTATGAGGACAAGCCATTCGTGCATTGGATATATTTTAAGCATCACTCATTAACTTGACTTTAATGGGGTTGGCAGACATTGCATGAACATTGCTGAGATAGCATTAAAACCATTGTAAAAAACATGACAATACATGAAGAGGATGAAACTTCAGCCAGAAAATGTGGCTTTAGGAAAAATCAGTTATATATAACCATGCACAAGTGGCACGGTCATCTTGGTTCCTAGGGAGGCAGGCCAAGTTGGATTGCTTCTACTGGGGCAGACAAGGTCAATACCACTCGTGTACTGCAGATTTTATGGATCACTGAGCAATATATCATGTAGTATTATCACAACTAAAATAATAAAGTTTTGAGTTTGACTACAGTGGTGGGGAAATATACAACAACGGCAATATTATAGATGAATATGAAATCATGAATCATGTTACTACTCATTGATGCCCTTAATGATAAAGATTCCCCTTGTCTCCTCACAACATGATATATATGGTGCAGATGGTAGCTGACAGAAGGCAATGACTCCTCTAGTCCATTTAGCTAATTTCCTGACAAAGAAACAATGGCTTCCATTCCTTCAAAAATTCAATCATCTCACCATACTCGGTCTAACAGCTTGCCCTCCATACCACACCCTGTAACTTCACAGATTGATGGGCATCTAAGCAGGTTGAGAACATCTGAATCTGCCTCCACATCGTCGTCAATCAGTCAAAAATTAAGAGGCCTTCAAGGTTTGCATGAATGCATAGACAAGTTGCTTCTGTTGCCCCTAACCCAACAAGCTTTAACAAAAGAGCAGAGAAAGAAATGGGTTGTAGAGATGTTAGATGGATCTCTAAGGATCTTGGATGCCTGTAGCACAGCCAAAGATGCCTTGTTGGATACAAAAGAATGCTCATGTGAACTTCAATCCATTATGCGCAGGAAAAGAGGAGGTGAAATGGCCCTTGTGAGTGAGATCAGGAAATACTTAACCTCCAGGAAGGTGATGAAGAAAGCAACCCAGAAGGTGCTGAAGAATTTGAAGGGCATGGAAAAATGCAATAACGATGATCAAACTCCTTCCATGGCTACCATGTTCAGAGAGGTAGAAGGGGCTGATATCACCTTGTTTAAGTCCTTGCTGTCCTTTATCTCTGGGGCAAAGGTACAACCAAAGACAAGCAAATGGTCTTTGGTTTCCAAGCTTATTCACCACACAAGAGTAGAATCCGAGCAAGAAGTAGATGCAAATGAATTTTCTAAGGTGGATGCTGCACTGCAATTCATCATTGGTCATAAAGACAATTATAGCCAGATTGAGAATGTGCAAAAAAAGCTGCAAAATCTGGACTCCTGCATTCAAGATCTTGAAGAAGGAATTGAGTGCCTCTTCAGATGCTTGATTAATGCCAGAGTCTCCATTCTTAACATCCTCAATCACTAGAAAATTACAACAAAAACAAAAATGTAAAGATGAAATATGCATGTAACATCTTTTATGCAAGTACATATTTTTTGATACAAATTATTGCCACTTATTACAGTCTTCTCATTAAAAACAATTTGTTTGGATCTGGACAAGAAATCTTATTCTACCCAAATACTTATTTGTTCAAACTTTTCTTATCCCATGACTACAATTTCCTCATTGAAAAGGAAAATAACAAAAGGAGCCCATGATCCACAATAATCCAGGTAATTAAACTTTTAAAAAGGTGAAAAAAAATGAAAAATTATAAAACTTAAAATTCAAAATTTTTTGCAATAAAAATATTATATTTTTCAGTGATAAGCTTTAGAATTTGGTTATATAAAGATATTTGTGATTTAAATAATTGAAATAGTAATGGAAAATTCTAGCAGCAAAGGCATTGTAAGACTGTTGAGTCTTTTGGCAAAAAAGAAATTGATGAAATTTTAATCAGAACCATAGGTGTCAAGTTTCCCCTTGTCTCAAAAACAGAAGGAAGTCATTTAACACAGAGATCAATACTAAAGGCCGTTCACATGGTAGGTTGAGATCACACAAGCTTTGCTTAATAGAAAACTTACATGGTTGTCTTGCTGTTAGGGAACGCTTAACAATAGCAAGCTCTCTGGCCAATATTAGTCCTTTTTTGGCAATAGGCAAGATGTGAAGATTTCAAGCTCGTGGATCCTGCCTGTGCATTTGTTAACAAATGAGATTTAAGATCATTTTTATGGAGTTGCAATGCTGGCTAAACCTAAAACAAAGAAAAAAAGATTAGCAATGCAATATCTCCAGTCCACATCCAATGCAACTCAGCTATCTGCTATGAAAAGGGAAAGGAGGAAAATAGCTACTGCCTTGAAACCTTCCGACCCCACCCGTGTGCTTCAGATTATGGTGTTATCTTGTTCAAGATACTTTTGAATCTCACTACTTGAAAATAATTAGACAATGAGTTGTAACCCCTGGTTGACAGGAGACAGAGCATAAACATTGCTGATAAAAGCATGTGGATCAAATGAAGTCCATGTTATTTCTGATCAATTTTTGAAGGGGATGAGATTCCTTATGTCTCCCCCACCTAATATTTATAGAGAAGATGCTGGGGAAAGAAAGCAAAAACCAAGTTTGAAAACAAAATTTTCAAAGCATTTCTCTTTTTCTCAAACTCCAAAACAAAAAATGGCTCACCATTCTCGCTCAAACAGCTTGCCCTCTGCATCACACCCCCTAGTTTCAGAGGCTGATAGACATCTAAGCAGATTGGCCTCATCTGAATCTGCCTCCACCTCATCCTCCTCCCTATCCCACAAACTCAATGGCCTACAAGATCTTCATGACATCATTGAAAAGTTGCTCCTACTGCCCTTCACCCAACAGGCTTTAGGCCAAGACCAGCACCAGAAATTTGTTGATGAGCTGCTGGATGGATCTCTCAGGCTCTTTGATCTCTGCACCACAGCCAAGGATGCCTTGTTGCAAACTAAGGAATGCGTACAAGAGCTTCAATCAGTTCTGCGTAGAAGGCGAGGAACTGAAATCACACATGAGGTTAGGAAATACTTAGCCTCCAGGAAGACAGTGAAGAAGGCAATCTTGAAGGCCTTAAAGAATATGAAGAACAAGGAAAGCACCACTGCCTTCAACAAGGACAGTGAGATCGGAGCCACAATTAACATCCTACAAAAGGCACAGTCAGTCACACTTAATGTGCTGGAATCCTTGCTATACTTTGTCTCTGGACTAGAGGCAGAATCAAAAAGCAGCCGCTGGTCAGTGGTCTCAAAGCTATTGCGCAACAAAAGAATAGGCTGTGAAGGAGGACAACATGAAAATGAGATAGCAAATGCTGAAGCTACAACGCTCTCAATCACTAGTGGCAAGGCAAGCATGCAAATTGAGGAAGTACAAACTGAACTGCAAAAGTCAGAGTCATGCATTCAAGATCTTGAAGAAGGGCTTGAATCCATCTACAGGCGTTTGATTAAAGCCAGAGCTACCATTCTCAACATCCTCAACCATTAGCATCAAAAATCATTGTATACTCATACTTTTATATTGATTCATCATACAACAAATATTTTTATGATAAAGAAAAAAATTACTTTCTCTCAAAATTTTTGTTTCTATATATTACAGCTTCATATATCCATTTTCTCCATTTTTCCAATATCAATCAAACCATTTTTAAAGGTCATAAAATGGAAGTCTGATCCAAATTTAAATTTTGCTATCGCATTTTGGACAACGAAGCACTTTTTTAACTTCTACTGAGGGGGTTATTTCGGGTGGTAATGCACTATTTCCTTGTGCCAACTAATTACTATCCTCCTTGATTCCTTAGGGGATGATAAGCATTTCTGATGAATATCTAAGCTGTCAAGATTCCAATTGTCTCAAGGATGATAAAAATAAATGATATTCACATGGTAGATGCTTATTTTCACATGCTTTAAGCAAATAAACAAAAATGTTCCTGCTGTCTTCCTGTTAGTAGTCCATTTATATACATTATTGCTAACCAGAAGCTATTTTCTAAATTTCTAACATTATTTAGAGATTTCAGAACCAAGAATGAGAATCTCGCCTACCTCTAACACAACAATCTTCACACCCGACAATGAGAATTAATTGAATGCATAATAACTAACAGGATCTCATCTTCACAAGGTGCCAAATGTGGGGAAATCATCTTTGCAAAAACAATAAGTTCATGCTTGCAGAAATAAAAAAGCCCAAGTTGCAAATCAGCCCCTCAACTTTTTTCACTGGAAGATCAGCTCCTTAACGCCTGGAATACAGCCCACCGCATCCAATTTTTAACGGCTGATGTCATCACAACGTCAGTAATCCAGTTACTTTTAAAGTGAAATTACCAATTTATCCTCACTATAAACACAGGAAATTTATTTCAGCACCCCCCCCCTGCCCCAAAAAAATAATAATAATAAAGGAAAGTAATTAATAACCGAAAGCTTCCTCATGTCTGATCTCTGATAAAAAAACCCAGGTTTTATATTTGTGTTTCTGAGTTTTTTTTTTTTTCAATGTTATTTTTTCCTTCAAATGTTAAGTATGAAATTTTAATTAGTACTGACACAGTGCCATGTCATTATCTTTAGGGTTCATTAAAACGGCTGCCAACTTAAATTCTGTTAATTCCTCACCCACCCCATAACTAAAATTCTGTTAAGTTTTGAGGCAAAATAGTAATTTCACTTTAAAGGTAACCGAGTTAATGGATTCTAATGTCATCCCGTTAAAAGGGGGCGGTATAAAGCTGTCTTAGAAAAGATAAGGGGCTGAACTGTCAGTGAAAAAAACTGAGGGGCTGATCGTCCAGTATGCAGTAAGTTGAGGGACTGATTTGCATGCTCGGCTGTTAAGGCCACTCGTGCAAGCAAATATTATAGTAGGTTAATGAGTTGGAAGCTTGGTGGAGAGGAGACATAGCATGCATAAACATTGAAGAACCAGTGTTCAGATACAAATCATGAAAATCATGTTTCCTCTCTACTGATGTCTGTTTAGACAACGTAATATTTTAAAGGAAGATGCCATTGAATGGAAGACATTTTGTCTCAAAAACAAAAGGAAATTGTTTGACACACAACAAAACTTCGATGGCTGTCACATGTTAGGTTCAGATTGCACACGATTTGCTTAATAGAAAACTTCACATGATCTTCTATCAATTAGGGTATTGGTAGGATGTGAAGATATGGAGCGTGCGGATCTTGCCTGCCTCTTGGGTAACATTACTAGCTGTCATTATGATTTTTTGAAGTTATGATGATAGAAAAACACAGAACAGATGAAATACAGGGCAGCCAATGGATTAATCTCCACATGCAAAACTGCTTGAATATCTTTCTATGAGAAGGAGAGGGAGAAATATGGTTATGACCTTCAAACTGTCCAGCACCAAACATGTGCTGCATATTATTTGAGATTTCATTGCATAAAAGGCAATGAGGTTGACTTGGGAGAGAGGAGACACTGTATAAACATTGCTGACGAAATTGTGTAGATCAAATGAAATCATTATTATTTCTAATCAATTTTTTAAGGAAATGAGAATAATTGTGTCTCCCTCGCCCTGAAATATATATACAGCAGATGCTGAGGGAAACAAAGCAAACTGAGTTGAAAACAGAGTTGTCCAATAGCCCTCTTTTCCTCCAACTCCAAAAGAAGAAAATGGCTCACCATTCTCGCTCAAAGAGCTTTCCCTCTAGACCACACCCCTTTACTTCTGAGGTTGACGAGCATTTAAGCAGATTGGCATCCTCTGAATCTGCCTCAACGTCGTCATCCACTTTATGCCAAAAGCTCAATGGCCTTCAAGATTTGCATGATAGTATTGAGAAGCTGCTCCAACTGCCTCTCAACCAACAAGCTTTAAGCTCTGAGTTGAATCAAAAATATGTTGATGAGCTGCTTGATGGATCCGTTAGGCTCTTTGATGTATGCACTACTGCCAAGGATTCCTTGTTGCAAACCAAGGAATGCATACAGGAACTTCAATCAGTTTTGCGCAGAAGGCGAGGAACTGAAATCACACATGAGGTAAAGAAATACTTAGCCTCTAGGAAGGCAGTGAAAAAGGCAGTCTTGAAAGCCTTAAAGAATTTGAAGAACAAACAGAACAAATACAGTGAAACCGGAGCAATTATTAACTTGGTCCAAGAGGCACAAGCAGTCACTCTCAATGTGATGGAATCCGTGTTGCACTTTGTATCTGGACCAGAGGCAGGATCAAAAGCAAGCCGGCTGTCAGTAGTTTCAAAACTGTTCCGCAACAAAAATGTAGGGTGTGAAGAAGAAGACGAAAATGAGATTGCAAAGGCTGAATCTAAATTGCTCTCCATCATTAGTGGCAAGACAAATATTGAACTTGAGAATGCACAAAATCAACTGCAACAGGCAGACTCATGCATTCAAAATCTTGAAGAAGGGCTTGAATCCATTTACAGGCAGTTGATTAAAGCTAGAGTCACCATTCTCAACATTCTCAATCATTAGATCAAATACCATAATACCCTCATACTTGTGTATGATTCATTAGACATGTATTTGATGCACAATAAAAAAACACAACAATGATAGAGAAAAATATACTTTCTCCAAAATTATTGTTTCTATTACAGCTTCGTATGCTCCCCCTCTCTCTCTCTCTCCCCCCC